CACGCACGCACGCGCACCACCACCCACTAGTCCGCGGATAGAGAAAATCAGCGCCATGGTAAGGGATGGGAGGGAGGGGTAGGACGTCAGATATGACGCGCGCGCAACTAGCTTGGCCCCCCCCTTCTCCCTTTCGCCGCCCTCGCCGCCACGCCCGCGGCGCCGTGCAGGGCGGTCTCCAGCTCCACCGACGGCCCGTCGGTCTCGGCGTTGGCCGGCGCGGACTCCCAGACGGCGGCTGGCGTGAACTCCCTCGTGCCCGAGGTCGCGCGCGGGGGGGGAGGGGTGGCGGCCAGGCAGGCGTAGGATGAGGGTGCATCGTTCCAGAATGTTCCAGTCGGGGGTGGACATAACCCCCAACAGCGACACGTCGATTAGTGAATTGTCCGTTTTCGGTTCTCGAGAGGGCGCCGTGGCCGTTATTTTCCAGGCTTGCGCCCGCCAGGTTTGGGCCTCAGGTCGTTTTCACTAAACCACGTTTTACTAAAGGGGGGTCTGTCCATCCCCGATCCAGGTCCAGCCGTGATCGCGTCGTAAAGGAGTCGCGGCGGAAGGGTTTGGGCCGTTGTGGGCCTCCAGGGGCCCCCGCCGGGTCCCAGGCTCGGCAAGCAGCGACTCGCGATGACGGATTAGCCCTGGGGACGGGGTCGGGACTTCCAGGCAGGCAGGCAGGAGCCGCGCCCTGACGGCGTATCGGCAGAAAATAGCATGCGGAAGACACCTGAAACGCATGCAAGAACACCTGCGTGCAGACGCAGTGCCTCGGTGGACAAGCGCCAGACCCTTCGTTCCGGAGCGTCGCGAGGGAAAGCCGCATCTTTATTCGAGGGAGGGAGAGGGGGGAGCAGGGAGGGAGGACGGGAGGGGAGGAGGGGAGAGGGGAGAACACATCAAGGGTTCGGATGTCTGGGCGTTTTTGAGCGCTCTGAGACAGCCGCTGCGCCCGATGCGTCCTCCAAACCCGCCTGCTCTCAGACATTTCCTGGTTTTCCATCATCTGGATTTATCCTCATCCTGCCTTCGCCTTAAGGTTAAGTCGGGCGTAACCCTCTTCTGGAGGACTACTCAGAAATTAGTCGAGGGACGATTTTTGAATATTCGTTGGACCATTTTGGGGTATTTTCTGACCATTTTGCATTTTTCGCCCAAAATCCGCCTGTAGGGGGATATGCCCGACCTAACCGTAAGGGGAGAGGGCAGGGGAAGGGCAGGTTCCACTTCGATCCACTCGGTCCGATTCGATTCCGACCCCGTGCTGGTGCGGCCCGATGCGACGCACGTTCCGATCCGATCCGATGTTCCGATTCGATGCCGATAGCCCCAGGATTTGGGGAGGGGAAGCCGAAGAAGGAAAACACTCGTGTGTGCACACCTGTTCACATTGGGCCTGATGATTGGCATGGGAAGTGCCAGATGTCAGGTTGCAGCCCTTCGAAGGTTGATTTCAGCATCTGCATAGTATTTCTGGTTTTCCAGCCGAGTCCAGCCCAATCAGGCTTGATCCTGCCTGGTCGAAGCTCGGCCCGATCTTGTGCTTCATCTGGCCCAATCATAGTCCTCCATCGTGCCCGAACAGACCTCCCAGCCACAGGCTGATATTCAGGGGCCACTGACAGAGCTGTCTGGGCCATCTGAAGAGCTACCAAAGCTTCCGACAGACCTACGAGGGCCACCAACTCAACTAAGAGGACTACAAGCACAGCTTTGGACGCCACAAGCAGGGCCAGCGATGATCTCCAGCTGAGCTACAACGGCCACCAGGAGGTGCAGGGCTTCAGCCTGACAGCGCTGGGCTGCTGCAGGAGCAGGACGCTCGCCTCCGGCGTGGCCTGGCCGATCGCCTCTTCGGCATCAACGCCCGCCCGCTACTAAACGGGCGGGAGGATACATTCAGGCCCTGTGAGGAGGCAGCAGACCGCCGTGTATTCAAGCAGGCTCGGAGTACATCCAGGTCAGGACAACCTGCCTGGAACCCATAGGTCTTTTGACAAAGCAACCGCTCGGGTTTGTGATCCAGCAGCTGTTTCACAAGTAAAGCTACCAGGACCCGATGCACATCGACATCGTGTTCGGAAGCATGTGCGACCTGGCAGCCTTCGATGGGCAGCCAGGCGTAGCCGCCTTCTTCGAGCTTTTCCTCGGCATCGAGGCGGCCTTCGACAAAGGTCCGAAACCAGATGCCGCCACAAAACACAAGGCGAGACCAACTCGCCTAGAACCGGAGAAGATTACAAACTACAGCGCTGCGGGCAAGGGTAAGTCTACACACACACACACATCGTTACACAAAAGACACTACGTCTATTTCACTTCCGCGCTGTAGGCATCATCGACTTGCTTGAGTGGCCCGGCCGCTTCTCCTCCTCCTCCTCCTCTTCCCGCAAGCGGCCTCGCCTGGCCACCTTTCTGTTCCTCCTCCATCCCCTCGTCATCCACTCCTCCTCCTCCTCCTCCTCTTCCTCCTCTTCCTCCTCCTCCTCCTCTTCCTTCTCCTCCTCCTCCTCCTCCTCCTCCTCCTCCTCCTCCTCCTCCTCCTCCTCCTCCTCCCCCTCCGTGGTCTTCAAGGCGGTCTTACACAGGGTACGATTCCTCCCCCCCCCCGCCTCTGGAAAGTGTCCCTTGGTGACGTCCGGGGGCTCCCGCTCTCGCGCCGGGCTGGCCGCCCGCCCTGCTGAGGAGCCGCGAACGCGTGAGCGCGGAAGGGGACGCCCGATGGCGCTGCAAGAGAGAGAGAGAGAGAGAAAGAGAGAGACAGAGAGAGAGAGAGAAAGAGACAAAGAGGCAAAACAAACAAGAGAGAGAGAGAGAGACAGAGACAGAGAGAGAAAAAAAAAAGAGAAAGAGAGGGAGAGAGAGAGAGAGAGGGCGAGAGAGGGAGAAAGAGAGAGAGAGAGAGAGAGAAAAGGTGGTGAGGCAGAGGAGAGGAAGCCGGACGAAGAACGGTCACAGCAGGAGGAGCAGGGATAAGGGGGCGCCCCTCAGGGCACGGAGCACAAGGGCAGACTGAGACGACTCGTCGACTCGTACGCGTACACGGTCGCCTCCATGTTCGTCGTCATGTGCTGGGGCTTCGTTAGCATGGGCATCGCCATCTCCACAGGAGCTCCTTTTTGCGGCCTCGGTTCCCGGATGTGTCTCCGTCGCCTCCTTTGCTCCCGCCCTGCGCCCCCTCCTGCTGCTCTTCTCCCTTCTCCTCCCATCTAACTCTTCCACCTGCCGTCCTCTCTTCCTCCATCCTCGTCCTCCCCTCCGCTGCCCCCCCTCCTCCTTCCCCTCCCCCCCGCCCTCTTTCCTCCTCCCACCTCCCCTTGCCGCCTTCCCGTTCTGCCCCTCCTCCCCTTGCTGCTGCTGGTGGCTCCGGCCCGCTCTCCTCTCTCTCTTACCCCAGCTTTCCCCCCCCCCCCCGGCCTCCTGGAGCCAGGACCCCCAGCATCCCCCCGCCCCTCGTTTCTCTCCCCCCCCCTCCCGGCGCTTCCATTCTCTCCCCCCAGGCCCTCCACCCCTGCCAAGAGAAGGGCCGCTCTGGGTTCAGGAGCTGCCCCGGCTTTCGCGACCGCTCCTTCGAGGCAGGTCGGAGGAACCTGTTCTCGTGGCCGACGTTCGCCGCGGCCAGAAAAAAACATTCGCGGTAGTCATTGTCTTTGCCTGTTTCGATTATCCTCCCCCTTTTTCCTGCTCCTCCTCCTGCGCTCTCGCGCCGGTGATTCTTCCCCTTTTCGCCGCGGTTCCCGAGTTGTTCATCGCCGTTCTGTCTTCACTGGCTGGCGGCGGCTTTTCGTGGTGTCGGTGCTGTGCATTTTCCACGCGGCCAACGCCAAGTTCAGGGGAGGCAATCTACTTTTGAAATTCGCATCGCGGATGATCGGGATGGGAGAAGAACACGCAGACAATTCATCGTGGATTCCGGATCATGCATGGCAAAATATGGGAAGTGTGAGGGAACAAAAGCATCCAGAACATACAGGAACCTAGGGGGAATCCTGGGATTTGTGTCTTATTGTTCGAGTCGATTCCATCGCGCCCCCCTCCCCTCCACAATTACTCAATATGAATACTACTCTCCCTCTTCCCCTGATGACGGCTTGGGAATATTCGCCCCCCCCCCCCCCCCCCCCCCCCCCCCCCGCGTACTGTTTTCTTACACACAGGTTTCCCCGGAGTTGGGTTTTTGCCTGCATTTTTTTTCAAAATGCTGCTCTCGCTGAGGCGCCAGCCTTATTTTCGGGCCCCGCTCGTTCCGAATCGTGCTCCCGCTGCAGCGCTGGCCTCATTTCCGTGCGCCCGGGCCGGCGCTGGGGCCGGGTCTGGAGCCGGTTCCGGCCGCCGCCGGAAAATCGAGTTCCGAGGCGGCGCCGAAAAAAGGCCGTTCTAATACACATTTTTCTGTTGAAAATGCTGAATTTCTGCTTCCGGCGCCCAGGAGGCCTCCCGGGCCGATTCCGACGCCAGGGCCGGCGCCCGAGCCGGCGCCCGGGTCGGACGCCCGAGCCGGCGCCCGGGCCGGCGCCCGGGCCGGGTCCGGAGCCGGTTCCGGCCGGCGCCGGAAAATCGAGTTCCGAGGCGGCTTCGAAAAAAGGCCATTCCAATACACATTTTTCTTTCGAAAATGCTGAATTTCTGCTTCTGGCGCCCGGGAAACCTCCCGGGCCGATTCCGGCGTGCTTCCGCTCGTTCCGAATCGTGCTTCCGCTGCAGCGTTGGCCTCATTTCCGCGTTCCCGCTCGTTTCGACACGCGTGCTCCCGCTGCAGCGCTTGCGTCATTTCCCGTGCCATGCCACGGCATGCAATGCAATGCTCGGTTGATGATACGGCTCGCGGTGCTCTTCTACGCCACGCCATGCCGTGCTCTACAATGCATCGCGTACCCTTTCGGGATCATTGCCCTGCTCGACATCCGACTGTGCGAGTAGAAAGGGGATCTGCGCCATGGTAAGGAATGGGAGGGAGGGGTAGGATGTCAGATACGACGCGAGCGCACCCAGCTTGCCTCTCCCCCTCC